CAAACTTTGACAAAGTTTTGCAACAGAGTATATACTAGCCACCTTTGGACCAAGATGTTCCATATAATCGATGAGCTAATATCATTGATTGTTTATCAATCCTTCTTCAGCTATTGTCGGTATAGAAAAAGAAACAAGCATACAGGCGTTGAGTGAACTACTGGTACTGATAAAGAACCAAACTAAAATCATAGCAACAAGTGATGAACACTACATTATAGTGAGTATACACATATATTACAACAGAACACAACGTTATCTATTATATATATTACAACAGAACACAAAGTTATTTATTATATATTACAACAGAACACAACGTTATTTATTATATATATTCAACAGAACACAGAGTTAGTTATTATATATTCAACAAAAGCAAAGTTATTTATTATAGATGCAACAGAACACAGGGTTATTTATTATAGAGTCATTAGAAAACAAAGTTGATCATAATAGAACAGAATACAGCGTGATTTTTATAGATTCAATAGAACACAAAGTTATTTATTATAGATTCAACAAAACATGACATTATTTATTATACATTCAACAGAACACAGTTATTTACAAGAGACACTTCAACAGAATTCATAGTTATTTAATACAGACACTCCAATAGAACACAGCATTGCTTTCCAGAACACTCCCTATTAAACATATTATTAATTACTACAGACACTTCAACAGAACACAGCGTTATTTACTATAGATTTTCCAACTAACTACAGCGTTATTTACTACATCATTCCAACAAAACTCAGTTATTTACTACAACATTCCAACAAAACCCAGTTATTTGCCATAGACTTTCCAACTGAACACAGCGTTATTTATATAGCATTTCCAACTGAACACAGCGTTATTTATATAGCCTCTTCAACTGAACACAGTGTTATTTACTATAGACTCCCCAACTGAACACAGTTTCATTTGCTAGAGACATTACAACAGTGTTATTTACCACAGGTATTCCAACAGAACTCAAAGTTATTTAGTACAAACTCTCGAACAGAACACAGCGTTATTCACAACAGACTCTCTAACATAATATAACGTTATTTACTATAGATACTCAATAGAACACGAAATTATTTATTGCAGATGTTTTACAGAACACGGAGTCATTTACTACAGACATTCTAACAGGACACAGAGTTATTTACTACAGACTCAGACAGAACTTAAAATTATTTATCATAGACACTCCAACAGGACACAGTTATTTCTATAGACATTACAACAGAAAACAGCGTTATTTACTACAAACTCTCCAACAGAACACAGAATTATTCACTACAGACACTAAAACATAATACTGCGTTGTTGAATTCGAACACTCCAACTGAACAAAGAAATATTTGATATAAACACTTTGACCGTACACAAAGTTATTTATCACAAACTCTCCAATAGAACACACCATGTTGTATAAACTACCTAAACGTTCAATTACAATGATTACTGTGACGAAAAATATTTCAATCTGCCTTACAAGGAACGACAAAGATCGTGGTTATTCAAGTTTGAGACAGCAAGAACTGGGTACTTTAATCGCTCTATACTGGCACAAGCCGTAAGAGAAATTGGTCAAATATTTGTTGAAAACTTTGCCGAATAATGCTCAAACAATTTTATGGATGACACGGTTCCATGTGGCCGCTGATAAAGTCCTGCGTTGTGTGCATTTTGAATACTCTTCTTTGTGATTATTGAATTAGTTTACCTACAGAGGCTGATATTCAGAGAACGTGATGATGAGAGTTTACGTTGGTTCTTTATAGTTTCCACACCTTAATGAAAAATCGATAATTACGGTCTGAAGGTATACAAATAATGTGTCAACGATATCTGATTCTTGACAATTATTTAAATTGTTTTGTTTTGTTTTCCATCAAGTTAATTTCGTTAAACGTTAGCGTGTCTCTGAATTGGAGATTAACTCGGGAGTCTACAATGATTTGAAATATCCAAAGTCTAACATCTGTTGTTACGTGATTAATTATTAAGGATTTTTTTATTATTTTTGTTTGTGTTTTTCATACGTTTCTCGAAACAATTATTAAGTCTGAAAAAGTCTCAAAAATATTAGAACATGTCTTAAAGACTTTCATGGCCTAGATAAATTAAGGCTGAGCAGCGTCTTACCCAATAGATTCTCTCTTTCTCTGGAATTCAAGTTGGACTGGATGGCTAGAACTTGCATTTTTCACAACAATGACCACATAAATCTCGCACTCATCACTATGAACTAAGGGTTTATCTTCCAGTTATATCCTTAGTAAATGTGCCTGTCCAACACATTCTTTTCACCCATCGCTCCTTCATCTTCATCCCTATTACACTAATCTAAATACTTCATTTTAGTTATCGCGTCTATTCTAAACTAGTTACACTGGAAGTTACGTCTATTCTAAACTCTTTACACTGGAAGTTACGTCTTTCTAAACTATTTACACTGGAAGTTACGTCTGTTCTAAAGTATTTACACTAGAAGTTACGTCTATTCTAAACTATTTACATTGGAAATTACGTCTATTCTAAACTATTTACACTGACAATTACGTCTACTCTTAACTATTTACAATACTTATCCCGCCTATTCTAAATTATACGCCACAGTTATCATTCCTATACTCATCTCTTTACAACATCATCACATCCACTCTCATCTATTTACCACAGCCATCATGTCTACTCTTAACTATTTACCAAAGTCATCACGTCTACTCTTAACTATTTACCACAGCCATCACGTCTACTCTTAACTATTTAGCACAGTTATCACGTCTACTCTTAACTATTTAACACAGCCATCACGTCTACTCTTAACTAGTTACATAGTCATCACATCTAAATTTAACTATTTACCACAATTATCCTGTCTACTCTTATCTATTTACCACAGTCATCATATCTACACTTAACTATTTACCAAAGTCATCACGTCTACTCTTATCTATTTACCACAGCCATCACGTCTACTCTTATCCATTTACCAAAGTCATCACGTCTACTCTTAACTACTTAACACATCCATCATGTCTACTCTTAACTGTTTACCACAGCCATCACGTTTAATCTTAACTATTTACCACAGCCATCACGTCTACTCTTAACTATTTACTACAGTCATCACCTCTACTTTTAACTATTTACACACTACAGTCATCAAATCTACTATTTACTATTTACCACAGTCATCACATCTACTCTTTAATATTTTCTACAGTTATCCCGTCTACACTTAACTATTTACCAGTCATCAGAGTTATTTTAAACTAACTACCTCCATCATCACGTATATCCTAAAGCTTTCACCTGCCATTTCCAGTGGCACAGCGGTATGTCTGCGGGCTTACAATGCTATAAACCGATTTTCAATACCCGTGATGGGCCTTTGTGTAGCTTTGTGCTTAACTTTAATCGAACAAACAAACAAAGCTTTTACCTTAAAAGTCATGCCAATGTATTCGGTCCATCTGTCTGATCCAAGACTTGAGCTTAGTCACTTTGTTTCGTTTTTATTTTTACCAAAGCTCCGAATCCAGTTTTTTTTATAATGACCTAATTGCAGTATCTGCATGACCGCAACTTTATAACTTGTACAGAATTTTTATCGTCTTCTGATAATTTAGGAAACTTTGCAACATATTACTCTTTAGATTATGACGAATTATTAAACACAAATTTTCCTTTGTAGCACAGTGCAGACAGTACCTGAAAGTTAGGAAGATGTAACAGCTTACAGTAACTTTGCTGTTGTTCAGATTGGGATTATTAATTTGTCACCAATAAACGAAATGAAAACCTGTCTTGCAGCGCACAGATACCTTCGACACCCAAGCGAGTTTTGTATTGTTTTTAATTTTCTTGCTGTGCTGAAAATCTAACAAAGCGTGCTCTCATTTCAAGTATAATAAATTAATATTACAGACTCGAGAGTTTGTGAAAACGCTAAGCCTAAGACATGACTTTGTTACGATCTCATTTCTCGCCTCTTTCCTGAGAAGAAAACTAATCAAGCATCTCTCCATATACAGCAGCGGGGTAAGTTTAGGGTATTGCATTTGTAATATAATTAAATCATAGCAAATCTCAAGAGAAATGCGCTGATAACTATAGAAATATTGCAATAAATATTTTGTTTTTATCTACAAAATGAGAGTTGATGCTCGAGATACAAAGGGCAATAAAATTAATTAATACAACGATATCAAAACGCTTTACTTAGGTTCAGTATCGTATGAAATGTTATTTATCAACCTTTTTACTAGCAAGCATGCTTTTATTAAAATAATGCTTTTCCCAACAAATCCTACTTGAACAGGTCCTTTCAACAGACGCGTGCGTATTCCATAATTTGAAGTAATTAGCAAACATTTATGATGGAAGAAAGTTGTTTGTACAATTAAAGATTTAACCAAAATTAGTTCTTTCATAACTAACAATTCACATGTAAACAGTTACCCCTAACAACGATTAATTATTCAACTAGCTGACATATCGTCCAACGCAGAGCGAAGAGGACGAGAGTCAGGTCCGAAGGCCGACCCTCCGATGGCCCCATCCTGGGTGTGCTCTAAGATTACCTACCAGATTTGGTGCAGTGGTTCGCCAATTGTAAGAGGAAACAGACTTTTGTCATACAATGGTTGGGATATATATCAGAAATAATTTGCACATTCTTCTCATTTTCTTACTGTACATTTCACATGAATAACGAAGTATGTTAAATGCAAAATAAATATGACAAAAAGAACGTTTCGCTTTCCAAATAAGCTGGGTGTACAACGCTCATGAAATACAACGCAGAACCGATTGAAGGCTAATAAAAGAGTTCACTTAGGTCCCAACCGGCTAACACAAATCTTTTGTTGTTGGTTTTTATTTACTATAAACGAATTGGTTATTAAATTTTCAATATTCACTTCGCTCAGAAATTTTTTTTATTCGAACTCAATCGAATAAATTCTTGATTTCCCTTAACCATAGTCCAACTGTAAAGAAAAAATATTTGTTCATAGGACGTGTTAGACTTTATTGTAGAACAGATAATAAATATAATTTAATGCATTTTGAAACGGACAACAAGTAAATTTGGGATATTATGAAATAGGCCAAAAATGTCATTGATTATCTTGTAAAACAGACCACAAATACCACATATTACGTATTGGAACAGACAATAAATAACTGTTATCGATCTGCGAAATAAACAACAAATACATATTTTACTGTGGAAAATCAACGTATGTCATTTATTATCTTATGGAACAGACAAACAAGCATCATTTAGTGTATTGTGTTAGAGACAACAAATACCATGCATTATGTATATTGAAACAGACAGAATGTGCCATTTCACTGTGGAGCAAACAACGTTTATCATTATTACTACTGTATCATTTCAAAATGTTACTAATCAAAATACAAGAAAACTTTACGGTTTTACAAATTAGCCTATCTTCTGACCGATTGTTACAAAGGCTTCTGTTTATTTGAATGTTTCTTTTCACTTACTTTGTCTTTGGTTGGTTCAAGACATGCCTACCAGACTGTGTCATTTAATTTACTGACTGAACTAGAGTTACATCTCGCTAACTGTGATTCAATCTACAGTCTAGGATAGATTAATGTACGTACGATGGAAACGGTGGCATTAGCAACGTGCACTGAGCTAGTTAAATACACATCAGGCAGATTGTAGACTTGAGACTGTAGAATATCTTCCTGCTAATAGATCTCGTACTCTTCCAAACCCCTCTCTTATGTCTTCAGGTAATACGTTTAATATTATCACCTAATCTAGCCATGTATTTTTCCACTTGAGAAACTCCTCCATACACTGCATAAGATAAAACTAATTTCAATTACTTTGAGACGACATGCTGTTTTCAATTATTTTACTGTTACTGTTACTCTGTCTTCTTTATTTTACTCCTACACGTACTTACAACTGTGCATCACTGTCAGTCTTTTCAAACATTTCAGAATAATAAGAATAATATCCAATAAAGTGACAGTTTCAGATGTCAGTTCAATAGACAACAAATATTATTTTTTACTGTATAACATACGAGGTTTTTCTTCATATACTGGAAATTAGAGAACAAATATTGTTTATTGTACTTTTTGGAAAGATAATAATTATTTACTTTACCGTGAAATACAACAATTAATATAATTTACTATATTGTGAAATAGAAAACAAATATTGTTTACTGTACTGTTAATCAGACAACAAACATTGTTTATTATATTGTATAACAGAAGACTTGTGTCATTTATTGTGTCATTAAATATACAAAAATACTGTGTATTTTATCATATTGTGGAGCAGACAAAAATAGCATTTATTATATTATGGAAAAAGAAACAAACATTATTTAATAGCTCATGAAAGATATATTAAACAGTTTTATCCCGCTCTTGATCAACAGTAAAATGTATTATATATATATATATAACTGACAAAAATACAAAAAGGGCTTTACGTTTAATTTTAAAACTACTCTACATTAATCTGATTTTTTCTGCTGTGAAAGCTTCATCAGCTGAGTTAAACACATGAAATAATCATGAGAACATAACGCCCTGAATGTGTTCTGTAAAACAGAAAGTTTAGTGCAAGGTAAGATAGCTTGCTTTCTAGTAATACCAGTTAACGTACCTGTCAATGCACGGGGAAGACGTAGATTGTCCAAAATGACCTCAAAATGTCCACCAGAAACAATGACCGCTTGGTTATCTTTGATATCCGAGACATGTTCTCCAAAAGTCTTCAGTATAACCTCCAATACTTTTGTTACATTGGCCAACATTCTGACCTAAATGAACCCCAAGATAGCCATCAAAAGTTGAGAATAGATTAAAATTACAGATAGAATGTATCCGTTTAGTCACAACCAAAGTAAAATAATCTCTCTCTTTGAACATATTGCCAAACACCATGTCGTAGATGGACGCCTTCATACACATGTCCACCTATATTCTTGCTATGGGAAACTTTCTCATTGTCCCATCAATCAGCACACACAGGTTTACCTTGCATGTCATCTAGTCATCAGATACTAGACTGGTCGTCACTGTTTCACTCCTGCACTCACTGTTCTGTAGGACTTCCACTTTCTTGTCCTCAACACAGCCGTCACCTACTAGCATGTTGTGGTTTTTTGGCACCTCTTGGTATTTGTTACATACTCTGATCACCACTGGCACTGTTGATCCGTTTGCTACCCTGAGCTGATCACCAATCATTTACTGTTTAATCATGGCGAGAGCACTTCCTTCTTATGGTGAATCTGATTATTTGTTTCTATTCTGTTTCTTCTAGCAGCAGCATCCATCGTGACAGTAACTCTTTTTTTTCTTTTTTTTGCTAGCACCATCTTTGAAGGGAGCTCCATATGAGCTTCCATATACTGTTCTGCCAGCTTGATCATCTCGTCCATGTTTTTGGGGCTCTCTCCTGGTGATCATGAACTGTCCACGTATTAGTAGATCTGTCAGTTCTTCAAAACTATCTTCACACTTGGTCATGTCAGTTCACTTTGTGAATCATCACCACAGACGTGCCACAAACTGAAGTACAGTTTCTTCAGTATCAGGTTTGACTTCTCTGAACTTCCAATGAAAATCTTCCTCGGTAACTTCATAGCATTTTAGCAAGGCCAATTTCAACTTGTCATAGTCCATGACGTCTTCTGGCATCATGCCTACATACACTTGTAGGCCTATGTCCCTATTCTGACTTTGGTCGAATCTTTCATACCTCACCAGGAAAGCATCCATGTCATCTTTCTGTTCATCAAATTTGGGCAGCTTAAATCCCATTGTCATTCTTGGATCCTTCTTTCTGTTGGGTGAGCTTGATTATATCAATTTGTGCTCTTATTGTCTATATTTCCAGTCTCCCATTTCTTTCCTTTTATTTTTTCTCTTATTGTGCTTTTATTCTCTCTATTTCCAGTCTGTCATTTCCTTCTTTCTGCCCTTCTTCCTCTTGTCCCTACCATTCTCTTTCTTCCTCTCTTCTCTCTCTATGTCTTGTTGTTGTTTAATAAACTCTTGTAGATCATCATCTTTGAAACCTAATCGCTTGTTCCTCTCTCTATTCACTTATCCAAGTCAGTTGACATGGTTGTATAGCGTGGTTATAATCGCTACAATATTTTTGCCGCCACTACAGATGCGCGTATATAGGCCTACTTTACCCGCTGTTGTATATGTCTACTGCCGTTTACCACTCTAGATTTTGGCTGGCTCACCAATGTCAGATTTTTTATATGTATGTTTCGGATTCTTAACAGTAAGTGTCTGTGACTTGTTGGCGATAAATTTCAACAATAAACAAAGAGAAAACAGTCCACTTGTTTTAAAATAATACATTAAAACAAGTCTGACCTATATACAAATGTTCGTTTATGGCTATACTCACAATCACTTAGTCTACATCAAACTGTATCTTATATCTCGAACTACATTTTGAAGGCGTATTTATAGCCTGATCGAAGCTTACAACGTTCCACACACTACGAGATATTATGATGTAATAATACTTAATCAAAACAACGAGAAAACTTAGAAGGTTCTAGTGCCATGACTCAATAATACAACAAACGCCAATTCAAAACAATTGGACTTCATAACGTATGATTCGTACGCAGTTACATAATCAAAACTGCATAAACTATCGCTTCTAAAAATGTCTAAACTTAACACTCGCGCTATGCTTAAACGGAAATAGTCGTTTATATCTAACAGCCATCAAGGCTTGCTTTATTACTAATTGAATAACAAATCCAAAAATTAACCACCAAGGCCTACTATTTTTACCAAATTAACAACACGTCAGAAATAGAGATAAATACTATTAAGCAAAACTTGCTTTGTTACCCGGTTAACATAGTGTCAGTGATAGACACGAGCACTAACCAATAAAGCCTGCTTTTTTACTGAGTTAACAGAACGTCATTGACAGATCCAAACAGTAACCAACAATGCTTGCTTTGTTACCCTGTTAGCAGAACGTCAGTATTAGATCCAAACACAAAGCAATAAGGCAATAGAATCAATAAAACATTAGCTAACCCTGCAGAAATAATGACTTGAAATATATAGCAGGTTATGGAAGAGTTAAAAAGTTTTGAGTTCAAACTTATATGTTTTGATATAACAAGTGAATGTGTATGAACATTTTTAGACTATAGGAAATGAAATCGTAAAGAAGAAAATGAACATCTTTAAGAGGTTTAAAAATATCTGCAAACGAAGCTACGGATAAAAAAAAATTATGAATTATTCATTGGAGCAAGATTGCCGTTTGTTGTACAGATTTACTAGTGACAAAAAAGCACTAAAAGGGTAGTAATAAAAAGGTATTGTATGCTTCAAAATCTACTCTGTAGTGATATTACCATAATCTGTACCGGATTGCACAATGCTTAGCTGATGATTGATTTTAATCTATATAGTTTGGTAATGTCTACTGCAGCTGAAATTAAAAGGATTGCAATTCATCATACCAACCCACAGCCACGGCTTCTGGAGCTTTCAAGCAAAAATATTTCATTAATCGTATAGAATAACTTGAATAATAAAGACTTTTTCTACCCGCCCAAAGAAGCTATTTATCACTCGCAAATTGAACCGCGAGAAGTCTCCTCTACACCCAGTGTCCTTGACGGTATGCCTAACATATGAAAGAGAGGTCCCTGTGTGAAGAATGAAAATCTGGTTCTATACGATAACAAGTTTATACACTAATAACAAAGCTATTAACACCAGACAAAGGGTCGAGAAAGACTGAGGAGAAACCTCCTGATCTTATTAGCAACCTGTGTGACATGTGGAGTTTATACTTAATCTAGGAAAATACATCACAGTATTTACTTCGAGGGCTTTTTGAAATTATTTAAAACCGAGGGTTTTCTGAAAGTATTTAACACCGAGGCATTTCTTAAAATGTTTTTAATTCCAAGGACTTTCGGGCGCTCGACTCGCATTCTGCAGGTCACAGGTTCGAATCCCATCACTGAACATGCTCGCCCTTTCAGCTGTGGGGGCATTATAATGTAACGGTCAACCCTCCTCGAGTAGCTTTACCAAAAATATAACTAACAAACAATATGTTATAATATGATCTAAACATTTCCAGTAGGCTTTCGGTGTTAAACACTTTCAGACGGTTTGTTTGTTTGTAATTAAGTACAAAGCTACACAATGGGCTGTCTGTGCTCTGCCCACCACGGGTATCGAAACCCAGATTCTAGCGTTGTAAGTCCGCAGACATACCGCTGTGCCACTGGGGGGGGGCTTTCATAACCACCAGGTCATGTCAGGCAGCTCATGCAATGTAGGCTAGTATTAGTAACACTAATCGGCATTAGCCTGAATTTGTTCAAAATATATAAAAAAAACGTTTTTTTAATACTCAATGCCATATGCATTACATGTAGAAAGCGAAAACTTTATTGAGAGTTTGACGCAAAAGAACTGAGAAAACTGGAAAGAATGCCAAGTAGAGGAAATGTGTCATTAGCATATGTTAAGATTCCAGCCTTTTGCATGGTCAATGCTCTTCTTATAATAATAATAATAAAACTATCATTATTTGACTTAAGGAACAAAATTCTAATTTCATTTGTAGTTTGGTTTGAGTTTTGTTTCTTTGTAGTTAAGCACAACACTACACAAAGGGCTATCTGTGCCCTGCCCACCGATTTCATATCGCTGTGCTACTGGGGGGGGGGGAGGTTTAACTTTCACTTAGATAAAACAAATGTACCAATATATATATATATATATATATGTATATATACATGTACATCGAGAGCATATAGCTTTTAAGCAGGTAAAACGGCTACATCGACTATTGTGTTCGAAATACAAAACATTTGATTAATATAATGACATAAGCACAGTATATTTCCAGTATTTATTTTATAAATACACTTCTGAAGTTATGACAAACTTCTGTTTGGATCACCAGCTAGTTCGTTTCACATACTTTTTTGCGGAGTTCCGAGGAACGTGACTGTGTTTGGATACTGGTTTTTCACTATAAGACATCCGTCCAAATAATGAAGTGTTTCTGCTTATATAATCACCAAGATATATTTTCAGAAGATATGAGCTGTAGAATTAACGACCTGCTTCTGTAAAAGCCCTCCCCTCCAATAGCTCAGCGGTAAGTTTACAGATTTATGACGATAAAATTTGGGTTTCAATACCCGTAGTTGGCAGAACATAGATAGCCCATTGTGTAGTTTTGGACTTTATAACAACCATACCAAACCTGTAAAAGTTCTTAGAAAGGCGGGTGTTGGGTTTATGATTCTTAATCTTTCTGATTCTTTAAAATTGTAGTCTTTTTGTAGAATTCCATAAGGTGAAATGGTTGCAAATTATTTATCTTATTGATCTCTCTTCCATTCACATCTATGATCGTCACCATAGTTTTACGACGCAGAGTATTTCTTGAATTGAGATGGTAGAAATAAAGACACCTTATTCATTAAAAATAATAAAATAAAACAATTATCGAGGATGCCCGTTTCAATTTTGTTAAAACAAATGCTCGATATTTTCTATATATAACTTTGTGATTGAAATGTGTGACACAATCTACAAAAACTAAAATTACTCAGACTTTAAAACTGCTTCGCATTCAGATCACTGATGGACCTTTTGTATATAACTATAAACAATTATTGACTGGTTATAAGGACAAGAGATCATTTGTTGCTCGAAGTAATCAGTCAATAATTGTCATATTTTAGACACCCTCTTCTGTTTTCAGTTCAATCTGATTAATTAGCACTGTGAAATAGAATATTTAGCCTACATTTCTTTGCATGCATGTAAATTTTAAAGTTTAACATTTCATTGAAGGTTTTGATCTCATTTTAAGAATCAATAATGGATCCAAGAGATTTAAAAATTGTTTAATTCTCAAAATATAACAGCCCGTCATCATGTGATCATTGTTTGTTTGTTTTTAATTTCGCGCAAAGCTACACGAGGGCTATCTGCGCTAGCCGTCCCTAATTTAGCAGTGTAAGACTAGAGAGAAGGCAGCTAGTTATCACCACCCACCTTCAATTCTTGGGCTACTCTTTTACCAACGAATAGTGGGATTGATCGTAACTTGATAACGCCCCCACGGCTGAGAGGGCGAACAT